CAAAGGAAGACAAGGAAAAGGAGCCCTCCCAAAATAGGGGCAACAGCCAGTGTAAAGGCCCTGCAGTAGAAACTCTGTCTTGTTCCTACTTCAGAATGAAGCCCGTGTGACTCAAACTTCGAGGTAAGCATAGGCCAGCTCACTTAGGGCCTTGTGAGGGGAAGCTGCTGGGACAGAAAGGAGGAAAATATGGTTTAACACTGAAAACACTGGCAAATCAAAACCACAGTGAACTATCAGCTCACACCTGTCACAACAGCTAAACTCAACAACACAAACAACAGATGTTGGCAAGGATGTGGGGAAAGGGGAACCCTTGTGCACTGTTGGTGGGGATGCAAACTGCTGCAGCCACTGTGGAAAACAGTATGGATGTTTCTCAGAAAGTTAAAAATAGAAGGGGCGCCTGGCTTAGTTGGTAGTGTGCACAACTCTTGATCTCGGGGTCTCAAGTTCAAGCCCACCACCAGGTACAGAGCTTACTTACCAAAAAAAAAGGTTAAAAATACAACTACCCGGAGCAACTACCTGGGTGGCTCAGTCGTTAATTGGGTGCCTTCAGCTCAGGTCATGATCCCAGGGTCCTGGGATTGAGCCCCACATCGGGCTCTCTGCTTGGCAAGAAGCCTGCTTCTCCCTCTCCCCACGCTTGTGTTCCCTCTCTCGCTGTCAAATAAATAAATAAAATCTTAAAAAAAAAAAAAAATACAACTACCCTATGACCCAGCAATTGCACTACTAAGTATTTACCCAAAGAATACAAAAATACTAATTCAAAGGGGTACATGGACCCCAATGTTTATTGCAGCCTATCTACAATAGCTAAACTATGGAAAGAGCCCAAATGTCCATCGACTGATGAGTGGATAAAGAAGATGTAAGGGCGCCTGGGTGGCTCAGTTGGTTAAGCGACTGCCTTCGGCTCAGGTCATGATCCTGGAGTCCCGGAATCGAGTCCCCACATCGGGCTCCCTGCTCAGCAGGGAGTCTGCTTCTCCCTCTGACCTTCCTCCTTCTCATGCTCTCTCTCATTCTCTCTCTCAAATAAATAAATAAAATCTTTAAAAAAAAAAAAAGATGTAAGATATATAGTTTGAGTCACACGGGCTTCTGGTCCTTGTTAATCTGACTCCTTTCTGATCTCTGTCACCTCAAGCCCTCCCTTAGTCTTTCGGTTCTAAGAGACGTTGGCAGTTCCTTCAGCAGGTAACAGGCCTTCTTTCTTTCCTGCCTGTGCCTTTCCCCATGCTTTTCTCTCTGCCTAAAATGATCTTTTCTGATGTTCTTTGCTGAACTTTTCAGGACTCAACTTGAATGGAGCCTCCTTCAAGAATTTTTCCCTCACCTTCCAATCTGATATAAGGTCCTCTCTTAAGGGGTTCCACAACATCTGGCCTACACAGCTGCTGTTGCTCAGACTGATGCTGACGGTTACGACGAGACAGCCAGCCAGTGACAGCACGCCCCAGTCTGGCAGCCCTCAAGCACCTCCCTGAGGGGATACGGCAGCCTCTAAGGCTGCAGGGCAGCGACCACCGAAGGCAGAGCTAATGACACAGCTCGAGTGACCAAGACAAGCTTATGTTGAACAAGGCCTATTCGCCCTCCCTGAAGAGCTAGATAAATCTCAACACATTTTGGAGCTTCACACACTATGATGGAGAACCCCAAAAGCAAGCGCTATGTAGGCCAGGCAAACAGCCCCATCATTCAAAGATGTCTGAGGAAGGCTCAACTAACAGCTCTGGGATGGCCTCTGCTAGAAAAGAGAGAACTCTGGAGCTGGGGACACCAGCCAGGTGAAGGTCCTACCCGGAGGACTGCAGCTCTCCAACGGACTGTCTGCCCTGCACTGGAGCCACCGCTGCCCCCTCACCCCAACTCCTCTCTCGCTTTGGTGGCCCTAAAGCAACCACTGCCTAGCTGAGCTCGGGCGCCCATGGACCTTCTGCAAATGGCGTGTGAAGGTCTGTCTGTGCCCCGCGGGAGCCACAGTTATGGGCCAGGCCAAAGTTCCAGCAAGAAAATTCTAGATTTAGCAAAACATTAAACTGGGCCTCTTCTTAGTTTTTGAAGGAAGCCTGTTTCCTTCTAGCTCATTATTTTGGGAGGACCTTAAGGGCACCAGAAAACTGCCATGTTGCTCAGCTCTCGGTGCGTGTGTGCAAGCTCCCTGTTTCCTTTTGCCAGATAGCACAGAACTGGCTTTTAGGGGAAGCTGTAAGCTGCGGAGGTGGCGGCGGGGGAGGTGAGATGAGCGCTTGGAGGGCGCCTGGGCGGCTCAGTTGGTTAAGCGACTGCCTTCGGCTCAGGTCATGATCCTGGGGTCCCGGGATCGAGTCCCACATCTGGCTCCCTGCTCAGCGGGGAGTCTGCTTCTCCCTCTGAGCCCCCCCACTCTCATGCTCTCTCTCTCTCAAATAAATAAATAAAATCTTTAAAAAAAAAAAAAAAAAAGATGAGCACTTGGATTCCCAACTTCTCCTTTCAGCTGTGGAGATAACAGGCAAACATGTGGCCCTTCAGCAAGGGCTGATGAACTATGGCCTATGTTCTACTTCAGAACGCTTCACTGCCCTTTCTGCCCCAAACGGTCTGGCTGACTTAACGTGGGGATCACCAGGTGCCCATTTAGAAATCTCCCTTCTAGGGCGCCTGGGTGGCTCAGTGGGTTGGGCTTCTGCCTTCGGCTCAGGTCATGATCCGAGGGTCCTGGGATTGAGTCCCACACTGGGCTCCTTGTTCAGTGGGGAGCCTGCTTCTCACCCCACCTGCCACTGCCCCGCTTGTGCGGTCAAATACACAAAATCTTTAAAAACAAAACAAAACAAAAAAAACCTCCCTTGTAGCACCTTTAAAAAGTATTCCCCTCGTTCCCCTTTACAAGGTAGTCATGAACCCAACTGACATCACACCCAAAGAAAGCAGCAAGACTTCCCTACACCACCAGCCCACTGGCCCAATTCCAGATTTTCACCACTTTCCCAGGAACCCAGCTTGGGTCTGAGTGGTATAACTCAGGAGAAACCAAGTGCTCACAAGACCTCAAATCCAATCCTTCCCCACCCAGGAGGGCACATTTCTAAAACTCTGCTACTCTCTCCGAAAATACTTCAGCCTTTCCACCAATACCTGAAATAAGGTCCCAGGACTTGCATTACAGTACCACTTTCAAAATAGAGTAGGAAGTAGCTTCCTGATCAGAAAACCCAAGCTCTGGGGCACCGGGTGGCTCAGTCATTAGGCGTCTGCCTTCGGCTAAGGTCATGATCCCAGGGTCCTGGGATCAAGCCCCACATCGGGCTCCCTGCTCAGCGAGAAGCCTGCTTCTCCCTCTCCCACTCCCCCTGCTTGTGTTCCTGCTCTCTCTCTCGCTCTCTCTCTGTCAAATAAATAAATAAAATCTTTAAAAAAAGAAAGAAAGAAAGAAAGAAAACCCAAGCTCCAAAATTTATACGAAACAGAAATACTTTAGACCCTTTCCTGCTTGCCAGGACGAAGAGATGCCCAGACTAAGGGCCTGAGAGCCTGATCCTTCCTTATGTGTGACTGGCAGGAGGGTGATGCCATTTTCTGTGGCATTCATGAGAGTCACTCTTCTTCACTGGCTCCCCTCTCTTTTTTCTACTGTCACTGCAGAGAACAGTGTGCTTTCCCCTTTCGTTATCCCTCCTCCTGGTTTTGCTCAAATCTGATTTGTTTCCAAAAATTCAGATGTGGCTTATGAAGGAAGCCCTGGTGGAAATAACCCACTGCTATAACAGTGTATTTAGGAATGCCCATTACTTCGAATTACAGGCAGAGATAATGACAAAGCCAAACAACAACATGTATGTGTGCACCTTTGTAAGGTACTCTCACCTAACCACTCTGTGTAGGTGCCACACCCCCCACCAGCTGGATTCCGTAAGTCATCTTCCAGCTCCAGCTACACGTCTGTGAAAAGAATATGGACACAAAACCTGGTTTTCTTTCTCCAAATCTAGCACCATTTTCTTCAAGCTCCGGCTTTGTTCTGGCTCAAACAGGAGGAGCATAGCAGGAGGGGATCCCTTCCCATTGCCCAGATCTACTGAAAAAGATCCAGTAGAGGTCAGTGAATTTGATACTGAGCAAGGCCGTCTGCTGTAGTTCTCCAGAGTCTCCCTTCCAGGAGTCTTCAATGCAATACCCACTTGTCCGGGCTGCACAAGGGACGCCAAACTGTGTCTGACTTACTATATACGGAAATTCCTGACAAGCTGTACCTTTGATTCATTATGTCTGACACTCCCTTTCCCGCCTTGCTGAAGGTTCAATGCACTGACAAGACACCCTTTTGAGGAGAGGGGTGGTGTAGAATCCCTGCTCTAAACAGACTCAGCCCGGAGCCTGCTGGGGTAGCAGGCCATGGCTCACTAGAGAGTGAGACTACTGAGAAGTGCTCTCCCTTAAGGCAGTCTGCATAGCCATCAAGTTCCAAGAAATAGGCTTGCTGGCTTTTTCTGGATTTTAAATATCAAAGTAGGGCGCCTGGGTGGCTCAGTTGGTTAAGGGACTGCCTTCGGCTCAGGTCATGATCCTAGAATCTTGGGATCGAGTCCCACATCGGGCTCCCTGCTCAGCGGGGGGTCTGCTTCTCCCTCTCCCGCTCCCCCCTCTTGTGGTCTCTCTCTCAAATAAAGAAAATCTTTTAAAAATAAATAAATAAATAAATAAGTATCAAAGTAATTTACTGCAACGTTGTTCAAGTAAACATCCCTGAAATGAAAACCGTTATAAATACAGTAGCCCTCAAGCCTCAGGAAGGTCCCCAAGCTTGTCCAGAGAGAAGCCATTATCTACCTCCATGTGGCTCAGGAGGGGAGCATGTGTATAGGAAGAAAGTTAAGACACCAGTAAGAAGGAAGAAGACATTCTAAGAAAGGATGGGGTGACGGTTGCAAAACACTCTGACTATACTTTGTGTCACTGAACTGCACACGTAAAGACAGAAAAGGTGGAGGCACAGCAATTCCTACCTGCACTCCTTGATCACTTGGTGGATGTCAAACTCAAAGGCTGCCAACAAGATGTTGTCCAGGGGTTCTGGGCTGCTCTCACCTCCCAAAAACAGGTCAAGGCTGGACTGTGGAAAGGTGGTGACCCACTCAATTCCCAGACGGAAGCAGAGACTCAAGGGGGCAGGCAGGGCTGCTGTGTAGGGAACCCTGGAGAAGGGTGATGGGGTCCTTCAAAAAGGGCCAAAGGAAGGGCACCTGGCTGGCTCACTGGAAAAACATGCGACTCATGATCTCTAGAGTCTTGAGTTTGAGCCCCACGTTTGGGGTAGAGATTACTAAAAAAAATAAACTTAAAAGGAGGAGGGAGGGGCAAAGGGAAGACCCTTCCTGTTCTCCAGGGAGGTTCAACTCAAAGAGGCCACACACTGAAAATGACCTAGCCCGCAGGATTCCTACTCCCCACCACCATCCCTTGGGAGTTCAGGCTCACCTGGGCATAGAGGTGCAGGTCAATGGGTTTTACTGTGGGATGAGAGTACAGGAGCCGGGTCACTAGGAAATGATACCAATTATTCAGAAGCTCCTTCTGCTCCAACAAGGCAGCTTCATCTCCCAGCATGATCTAAGGAAAGAGATTTTTTACCTCAGTTCCAGAGCCAACTTCTCTGTTAACTCTCCTGATCTCAGGGTGCCTGGGTGCTCAGTCGGTCAAGCGCCTGCCTTTGGCTCAGGTCATGATCCTGAGGTCCTAGGATCGAGCCCTGCATCAGGCTCTCTGCTCCGCGAGAAGCCTGCTTCTCCCTCTCTCTCCAACCCCACCCCCCCCAACTCATGCTCTCTTGTGCGTGCTCTCTCTCAAATAAATAAATAAAATCTAAACAATATAACAAAAAGTCTCTCCTGATCTCAACTAGAGCATCTGCTCTGAAAGCTCTTCCTTCCTGGCAGAGCTGATGGATAGCCTTGTCCAAAGAGGATCATGTTCCTGCCGTTGCTGTGCTGGATGTCACAGCCCCAACTTGGACCCCAACCTAGACTTCCTTTCCACAGACCTTGCAGAGAGACTCCAGGTGAGGACTGGCAGCAAACGTGCTGTCCTGGAGGTGACGCTCACATTCCTCATGCCAGTGCTGCCACTTCAGCTCCAGCTCTGTCAGCGTCTGGGTGTTACCAGGCTAAGGGGAGAGACACAGTGAGATGCCATGGCCATAGAAACCCCTTGTGCTTAATGAACGAACCCCTCTCTTGTGACCCAGCAGAGCAGGGCTGCTCCCACATACACTGAGAACGGGCATTGTCCTCATCAGGTCCCCTAGGATTCGGCACATGCCTGCAGAGGAGGGGCTGGCGTCGGCTTCCTTGGAGAGCATCTGCCGAGCCTCGTCCAGCCGGCCCTGTAGTACCAAGATGGTCACCTGGGAGGACACACAAGAGCATGAACATTCACGCAGGCCCGGAAGCCAGTCTCTTCAATCCACACTTGGGCTTCCTAGCCTTATGGAAGTGTGATGGTTCCTTCCCTCCAGCAGTAATCTAAGTCATCTAGTCTAAGGGTTTTAACCTGGACCATGCTTTTCAAACTGCATGTTGTAACCCATTACAGACTGCAACCAACTTTTTAAAAAATAAATGAAATGTGGACGCCTGGCTAGATCAGTCAGTAGAGCATGCAACTCTTAATCTCAGGGTCATGAGTTCAAGCCCCACACTGGATGTAGAATTTATGTAATGAATGAATGAATGAATGAAATAGAAAATGACATAGTACATCAAGTAAAGATTGGTTCAGTTCAAATATACATACACACACATACACTCAATATAAATAGTCAACCCTCTTTATTCAGAGATTCCATATTTGTGAATTTGCCTATTTGTTAACATTTGTAACCCCAAAATCAATACATGAGGTACTTTCACCATTACTTGTGGACATGTGCAGAGTGGCAAAAACTGAGTCACTTGATGTGCACATTCCCAGCTGAGGTTGAACAAGGTGGGGCGCTCTACCTTCTTGTATCAACTCTCACTAAACAAGTGTCTTTTTTTTTTTTTTTTTTTGAGACAGAATGCGAGAGAGAGAGAGCACATGAGAGGGGGAAGGGTCAGAGGGAGAAGCGGGCTCCCCGCCGAGCAGGGAGCCCGATGGGGGACTCGATCCAGGGACTCCAGGATCATGACCTGAGCCGAAGGCAGTCGCTCAACCAACTGAGCCACCCAGGCACCCTAAACAAGTGTCTTTTTCAGGATCTACCTAGTGCCACTTTTTTTGTATTGTGGTGCTTTTTGCTGAGCCCCAAGCATAGTGCTGAAGTGCTATACTAAGTGCTAAGTGCTAAGAAGGGATGATGGCCCACAGGGAGAAAATGTGTGTTAGATAAGCTTCATTCAGGCATGCACTACAGTGTTGCTGGCCATGAGATCAATGTTAATGAGTCAACAGTATATACTAAATAAGGTGTCTCTAAGCAAAACCATACATAAAACAAAGTTATATACTGATCACCTGACAAAAATGGGATCAGAGGCTGGAAGAATCCTGTATTACAGTAATCAGTAATAACAATGTTCCAGACAACTTTATAGACCTTAACGGTCATGAATAATGACAACCAACAGTATATACACACTAACAAATACGTAAAACATACAAAGTAACATTTTCCCATACTAAGTCATGCTCAAAAAAGCCAAAGATATATATGCTGACAAATCCCCAACTTCTCCCTAGCCTGCACTTCCTTCTCTGGATTCCAGACTTGTACACCTTACTGCCGACACAGTGTCTCCACTTGGACCTCATGGGCATCTTAAACGTAGCATGTCTAAAAGTAAACACCCGGCTGCCTCCAACTCACCAACCTGATCTTCCCACATTCTCCTATTTCTTACAAACACACATCTAATCTATTAGCCAATCCCATCAACAGTATCCGTAAACTGCATCCAGAATCTAATCACTTTTCACCACCTCCTCTGTTCGACACCCATCCTTGTCCAAGTCACCACCATCTTTGCCTGGTTTAGTACCATAGCCTCCAGACTGGTCTCTGCTTCCACCCTTGCTCCATCCTTTGTAGGGCAGCCAGAGAGCCTTGAACACCTACATCCAATCACAGTGGGAATACTCAGCTCTCCAATGCCCCCTCACCCCATCTGACTCAGGGGTTGCGTCCATCAACTAGCCTACACACATATATGTCCTTTAATCATAACAATTTTTTTTTCAAGATTTCATTTATTTGAGAGAGAGCACGAGTGGGGCGAGGGGCAGAAGGTGAGGGAGAGGGAGGAGCACGAGTGGGGAGACCTGACGTGAGACTTAATTCCAGGACCCCGAGATCATGACCTGAGCTGAAATCAGGCTTAACTGACTGAGCCACCCAAGCGCCCTAATCATAATTTTAAACATAATCTTATTATTATCTGCACTATACAGAAAAAGAAACTAAAGGCTGTTAAGTAACACATTTAAGACCCCACAGCTAGAAAGAGGCAGAACTGGGATGCTAACTCTGGCAGTCTGGCACTGCAGACCATGTCTCACCACTCTGCTCTACTGCCTCTCTCAAAGTTAAAGTCCTTAGGACAGTCCAGGGACCCCTCCAATCTGATCCTGTGACTCTGCCCTTACCTCCCCAACTCCTGCCCTTGCTCACACTGCTCCTGATCCCACTGGGCCTCCAGGTGAGAGCGTTTGCAGGTCTCACTGTCTACAACACTTTCCCCTCCTTTGGCCCAATGCCCCTCCCCCCACATCACCTCATGAGGGAGGCCTTCCTTGATTCCCCAGCTCTAGAATTGCCAATTCCCCAGGTTGGCTTTACTGCTCTCCATACCACAGTGCCTCCCTGTTAGGCATGCTACATATTTTACTTGTTGCTGTGTTTATTTCCTGTCTCTCCACCCAGGATGTAAACTTCCTAAGGGCAGTAATCTTTGCCCACTTTGGTCACGGTTGTTTCCTCACTGCCTTGCAAACAGGAGCACTCAATAAATACTCAGTGAATGAATCAGAGACTCAAAATCTGGGCCCAATACTGAACAAAGACTCTCCCCTCACTTGCACAGATCTCAGCAACAAAACGCCCAGAAATAGCATCAAAGGCTCTAATTCTTTATTGGAATTCCAGATTTTATAGTCTAATCAACTTTCCATTATTCAGGTCAACTAGCACTCTTCTCCCCAGTCCCTACCAATTGGGTCACAGGTCAGTAAATACAGAATACATAATATCTACCCACCCACACACAGTCACAACCCCAATACACATGTTGACTTCCAAACTGATAATCCAAAATGACTCCAGGATCATCAATCTTTTTGTTTTTAATAGCTATACGGAGCTATAATTTATACACTATAAACATTCATCTATTTAAGTAGTGAGTTTACAGAGTTGTGCACCATCACTACAATCCAGTTTTAGAACATTTCTATCACCTCAAAACCCCTCCTGCTCATTTAATCTCCTACCCCCTCCAGCTTCTATCAAACAGTTTTATCACGTCTTCTCTTCCTTAGATTCATAAAGAAATTAAATGTCCCTGCTCACTGGAAAGTCTACAAAGCATTACTTTTCTTACAAAACAACTTAGTTCTAAACTCTCCTGTGGAGCAGGGAAGAAAAGATCTAAGAGCATCTCCATAATCAGACCCAAGGAGCCAGTCCGAGCGTGAGCAGGCTCAGCAGGCAATCCTCAGGCCCGCCTGCAAGCACTGGGAAAAACAGACCATGAGGTAGAAGGCAGGAAGGCCCGGCCTGCAGGAGATGCTTACCAACTTCCAGAAGCTCTCATGTTTGCTTGGATTCTCACTGCCCAGGACATCTGCCAACAAACTGTCCACTTCACACACATGCAGTCGGACCCAGTCAAGGAGGTGAAGAAGGAGAGGGCCGGCTGGGAGGAAAGACTCTTGTTACACACAAAAACCTCAGTTTTGTCTGCAGCAAATTCCACTTGCCCAATGTACAGACAGAAAATGTAGGGCAAACAAGATGCCTATATAGGAAGTAGTTTATCCCACTTCAGTGGGCACCATATGGTCCTAGATAAACGGCTGGACTAGCAAATGGACCTTTACGAATAGTTCCTCTGAGCCAGGCAGCTCCACCTTTCATGAATTTTCCAAAGGGCTGAATCTCCCCTCCCCCTCCACCCCCAATTCTTCATGACTATGCGGTACTCTATGGCTATGTAAGGAATGGCCACTTAGGGATTGCTACTGACTAGTGCTAGGTATGATAAAAACATAGCAACAGCCCTCAAAATATACTGGAGGAGGTAAACATAGAAACAACTAATTTTAATTTCACATTGCTTAGGGCTTTAGCGGGAGTATGAGTAAAACCTATGACTGCACAGAGATTATTAACACTCATTTATGGATAACAGCAAACATAAACCATCAAGAGAATGAAAAAAAGCCTGCAGCACCACCACAGAGAGCCCACTCACGGCAGGATACCAGACCGACCACAGTTTAGTTCAAGAACATGGAATAATTCAGAGTGGACAGTTCACATGTAGGGCTGCCCCCTCCCCAATCACTGTAGACAGAATTCTCCCAGTGACTTTGTCTCCCACCATCTAATCCCTCCTCACATCCCTAAAACATTTTTCCTTTCTTTTAATTTTTATTTTTAATTCTAAACAACCAACATTTATTATTGCACATTTCTGGAGGCCTGAAGTCTGAGATCAAGGAGTGGACAGAGTTGGTTCTTTCTGAGGCTGGGAGGAAGAACCCATTACCATGCCTCTCCCCTGATTTTCCAAAAACTCTTAAGCTTGACCAGTCCACCATATGAATCTTGACCACCCCTGTCACACACTAGTCCAGTAGGCTTTCCTGGTGTTTTTCAGGGGTCACCTGACCAACAGCTTAGGTTTTCAGAAGGCATTCTTTCTCACTTTTTTTTGTAGTATCTGACAAAATGGCAGACTTCCTTGGTGTTATGTACAGCTTTCTACTGATTACACTGATGAAAAGTGAGGAAAAGAGCATCCTTGGCAATAAAGCGCTCGCTCATCACAACACGCAGGAAAGACAGAGGAAAGGGCAGGGGGACGCCTTTGATGTTGTGAAGGGGTGATTCCATCCTCACCTGGGGCTACTTCAATAAAAAGAATCTCACAAAGGTTCCAAATGAGCTCCATTGCTGACAAAATGGAGACCTAAGGAAGAAATGGAGACAAAGTTTTAACTGAAAACATTCCTGACATTTCTCTTAGAGCAAAGGAATGAAGAAGCAGGGCTTGAATCATATGACATTCATTCATTATTAACTCAACAATTACTGAATATTCCTATGGCAGGGTTTCCCACAGGGAAGCCAGTGAGTAAATTTTAGGGGGTGGTAGGCAGACTAACATTTTTTTTTTATTTTAATGGTTCTTGTTTTAGTTTAAATGCACATTATAGAGGGCACCTGGGTGGCTCAGTCGGTTAAGCAACTGCCTTCGGCTCAGGTCATGATCCCAGGGTCCTGGGATCGAGTCCCGCATCGGGCTCCCTGCTCTGCGGGGATCCTGCTTCTCCCTCTCCCACTCCCCCTGCTTGTGTTCCCTCTCTCGCTGTGTCTCTCTCTGTCAAATAAATAAATAAAATCTTAAAAAAAAAAAAAAAGTACATTATAGAAGAATATAATTAGCTCATCACGCCCAAGGTCTTCATGAATATTCTGATTTAGAAAGAGGCTCTAAGTAAATGGGAGATGATTCTTAGAAAAATATTCAGTAAATAATATTAAAAATTCTACAGATACAGAAAAAACTGTGAAGTTGATATTCAAAGGATTAAAGTTTAAGAAAGTCTATTAAAAGTCAAACCCAATATAAGACCCAAAAATAAATCAGGTCTGGACCCTGCCCTTAGGAACATGCAGTCTCCTCTTCCCCATCATCCTTTCATACACAAACACAGACTACCTTATTCATAAGGGAAAACAAGTGCTTTGCTGACTGTGCACTAGACCGCAACAGACACAGTGCACTAGTCCCTATTCACTACGGAGTCTGAACACTGTCAACATTCTACCGAATAGAGAGAATTCTTTCACTCATCTTCCAGCTCCAACTAAAGTAAACAACTCAGTAAAAATACTGGGTTCATGAGCTGAGTACAGTTTATAAAAATAATTAGTGATTCCAAAAGCTCAGCTCACTATCTCAGGTGACACAATGTGGTCAGGATTGACATTTCCCATAAGAACTGGAAACTCAGGGCACCCACGTGGCTCTGTCGGTTAAGCATCTGCCTTCGTCTCAGGTCACGATCCCAGGGTCCTGGGATCGAGCCCCGTATCAGACTTCCTACTCAGCAGGGAGTCCATTTCTCCTTCTGCCCCTCCCCCTGCTTGTGCTCTCTCGATCTCTCTCTCAAATAAATAAATAGAAAAAAAAAAAAGAAACTAGAAACTCATACAAGTACTTATCAAGCACACCCTTGTCTTCCATGTGCTATGGCCTTGAAGGGGGCACCAGGAAGTTCAAGATGATCCTTACCACCCCCAAAGAGTTGTCTATCTAGCTGGAAAGAAAAGACTTCTGCAAAAACAATGATTGTGGGGCACCTGGGTGGCTCAGGTAGGTTGCGTCCGACTCTTGATTTCAGATCAGGTCATGATATTAGAGTCGTGGGATCAAGCCCTGCATCTAGCTCATCGGGCTCACTATTCAGCTGGGAGCCTGCTGGAGATTCTCTCTCTCCCCCCTTCCCCTTCCCCTCCCCCTGCTCAGACTCTCTCTCTCTCCCAAATCTTTAAAAAACAAAACAAACAACAACAAAAATAGTGATTGCAAAGTCACCCTAGGTGGGTGCTAAGGACACAGAAGGACATAATGGTGCCAGCTGGACAACAAAGGTGGCCCCCCCCTTACCTGGCTGCTGAACTGGCGACCACTGGCTGGATCTTTAGCAGCAACTAACAACACACAAACATTTTAAGTGAGGAATGAAACTTTTAGTCTCATAGTTATACCTTCATATACCAGGTTCTTTGGCTTATGCCTTTGTTTCCGCTAATGACCACCCATTTTCACTACAGATTTTTATTTTTTAAGAGCGCATATGGTGGGGGGGGATGGGAGCAGAGGAAGAGAGAATCTTAAGCAGGCTCACACTCAGCCCGATGTAAGGCTTAATCTCACAACCCTGAGATCATGACCTGAGCCAAAACCAAGAGTCGGATGCTTAACTGACTGAGCCACCCAGGCACCCCTTCACTATAGATTTTTTAAAAATGCTTAATATCTCTGTTGCAGATAAATGATTTGCAAACCCGACACCCTCAAGTTACAAGTGACACTCTCAACTGCAAACTGCAACCAGAGACCATCAGGTTATAAAAGACTCTACTCAGCATCCAGGAGTCACGGGGCTCTCATGGTTATGGTGACTTTAAATCACCAAGGTTAGGGGTGCTTGGGTGGCACAGTTGGTTAAGTGAACAACTCTTGGTTTCAGCTCAGGTCATGATCTCAGGATCTTTAGTTCAGGCTCCAAGTCAGGCTCTGAGATCAGCACAGAGTCTAAGACTCTCTCTCCCTCTGCCCCTCCCTCAATACTCACACATGCTCTCTCGAAAGAAAGAGGGAAAGAAGGAAAGAAAGAAGGAAGGAAGGAAGGAAGGAAGGAAGGAAGGAAGGAAGGAAGGAAGGAAGGAAGGAAGGAAAAAGAAAGGAAGAAAGAAAAAAGAAAAGAAAAGAAAAATCACCAAGGTTAAAGAACCAAGAATGTGATTTTTAAAGATTGTTAATTTGGCCCTCAGTCTCACACCTGTCGACTCAATACGCTCTAACTTGAAAAATGTACTCAAGGGGTGCCTGCGTGGCTCAGTCGTTAAGCGTCTGCCTTCGGCTCAGATCATGGTCCCAGGGTCCTGGGATCGAGCCCCGCATCAGGCTCCCTGCTCCGCGGGAAGCGTGCTTCTCCCTCTCCCACTCCCCCCTCTTGTGTTCCCTCTCTGGCTGTCTCTCTGTCAAATAAATAAAATCTTTAAAAAAAAAAAAAGAAAACTGCCAAAAAATTAAGAATTATGTAAGACAGGAGCACCTGGGTGGCTCAGTCGTTAAGCGTCTGCCTTCGGCTCAGGTCATGATCCCAGGGTCCTGGGATCGAGTCCCGCATCGGGCTCCCTGCTCTGCGGGAAGCCTGTTTCTCCTTCTCCCACTACCCCCTGCTTGTGTTCCCTCTCTCGCTGTGTCTCTTTCTGTCAAATAAATACATAAAATCTTAAAAAAAAAAAAGAATTATGTAAGACAGGAAGTAAGAGTTTTAAACTGGAAAGTCAAATAGATTCTACCTTGCAGTATTTACAGCTAAATAAACATTTCAATTACTATGACATGTACACACATAAAATCCTTACTTGCAACCTGGTGCATTTCCTCCATACATGCCCTTATGACTGATCGGTAGTTCTTACTCACTCGGACCAATCTACAAAAAATGAAATGACATACAAGATAAGCCTGCTGCATCTTGTGGTGACAAAAAGCAAGTAAGTTCTCAATAGAAGATAGGAGCTTGCTCAAAGACAGGAACCAACCTGAAGGAGTTCCTAACAGCCAAAGCTGGAACAACTTGAGCATCAAAATAAGTAACACATGAGATAACCCAGGGGGTAAAATAAATATCCATGAATCCATACTGATATTAATTGTTGCAGATGAGATCCACTGATGGACACTAAAATTAGTGGTTGAAAATTTAAGGAGAAATAGGATTTGCATAATCTCAAAATTTCTGCTCCAAATACTTACTAGTTACAAAGGGAAAGACAGTAACTTTATAGTGAAGAAACCCAGTAGAAACCACATTAACCAAGTGATCAACGTCAACAAAACCAGTATAAAACATCAACATCATGAACCCCATGATATGACGTACTGAGGACACATCATACCAGTTCTGTGGTATTCTTACTAAAAATGAATAACCTTAAAAAAAATGTAACTTTTCTCCAATCATGAGAAAACATCAGAGAAACCCAAATGGACGGATAGTCACCAAAATAATTGGTCAATATTTTTCAAAAGTGTCAAGGTCATTAAAGAGTAAATGCGGGCGCCTGGGTGGCTCAGTCGGTTAAGCGACTGCCTTCGGCTCAGGTCATGATCGCAGGGTCCTGGGATCGAGTCCCACATCGGGCTCCCTGCTCTGCGTGGAGCCTGCTTCTCCCTCTCCCACTCCCCCTGCTTGTGTTCCCTCTCTCGCTATGTCTCTCTCTGTCAAATAAATAAATAAAAATCTTAAAAAAAAAAAAAAAGAGTAAATGCAACCTGAGTTGTAGAGGAGAAAAAAGGACCTTATTGGAAAAACTGGTGAAATTCAAATGAAGTCTTGAATCATAATGCATTGATGTAAGTTTCCTGGTCATAAGTAACAATAGTATGGTTATGTAAATATTAACGTAACAAAACTGGGTGAGGAATGTGCAGGAATCTATTATTTTTGTACCTTTTCTGTAAGTCCAAAATTAGTTCAAAATAAAGTCTTTAAAAAAGGAAATGACGAGGGGCGCCTGGGTGGCTCAGTTGGTTGGGCGACTGCCTTCAGCTCAGGTCATGATCCCGGAGTCCTGGGATCAAGTCCCACATCGGGCTCCCAGCTCAGCGGGGAACCTGCTTCTCCCTCTGACCCTCTCCCCTCTCATGCTGTTTCTCTCTCTCTCAAATAAATAAATAAATAAAATCTTAAATAAATAAATAAGGAAATGACGAAACTAAACAAATATCCACAAGAAAGCAATTTGTTTAGTTACTAAGACGCAATCTTTAGTAAGAAAAACAGTTCTAGGGGTGCCTGGGTGGCATAGTTGGCTAAGCGTCTGTCCTCAGCCCAGCTCAGGATCCTAGGATACTGAAATGGAGCCCTGCGCCGCATCACATTGGGTTATCTGCTCAGCAGGGAGTCCGCTTCTCCCTCTCCCTCTCCCCTTCCCCCCCACCCCTGTGCTCGCTCCCCCTCCCCAAATAAATAAAATCTTAAGGGAAAAAAAAGGACAACAATGCATTTCATTTGGTTTTCACAATTTACTTGTGGACTTCAGCACCTATCAGCAGCCTACTTACTGAGCTTTTCTGGATTTTCCAGTCAACTCTTCTTCAATTCTCTGGAGGCCCACAAAGATTCCATGGGATTCATTGAAGAGTTTTCTCAAGATCTGAGAGTAAACATCTATATCCTTTCGGATGATATAGATAAAGGGGCAGCCTGGCTCGGTCTCTGATTTTTCTAAAACAGAAAAAATTTAACATCAATCACCACTACCCTCATACAAGAACTCACTTTAAACTTTTTTTAAGATTTTATTTATTTATGAGAGAGAGAGAGAGAGAGAGATCACAAGCAGGGGGAACAGTAGAGGGAGAAGCAGACTCCCTGCTGAGCAGGAAGCCCAATTCGGGACTTGATCCCAGGATCCTGGGATCATGACCTGAGCCAAAGGCAGACACTCAACCGACTGAGCCACCCAGGCACCCTAAACTTTTTTTTTTTTTTTTTTAAGATTTTATTTATTTGACAGAGAGAGACACAGCGAGAGAGGGAACACAAGCAGGGGGAGTGGGAGAGGGAGAAGCAGGCTTCCTGCCGAGCAGAGAGCCCGATGTGGGACTAGCTCCCAGGACCCTGGGATCATGACCTGAGCCAAAGGCAGATGCTTAACAACTCAGCCACCCAGGCGCCCAAGCGTCCAACTCTTGATTTTGGCTCAGGTCATGATCTCAGAGTCATGAGATCAAGCCCCGCGTAAGCCTCTACACTGGGCATGGAGCCTGCTTAAGATTTTCTCTCTCCCTTTCCCTCTGCCCCCAACTCCCCACTCGCATGCCTGCTCTCTCTCTATCCAAAAAAAAAAAAGTATGAATTATCATTTATTTTTTTAAAAAAATTTTTTTTTAAGATTTTATTTATTTATATGACAGAGAGAGACAAAACAAGAGGGGGAACACAAGCAGGGGGAGTGGGAGAGGGAGAAGCAGGCTTCCCGCAGAGCAGGGAGCCCGATGCGGGACTCGATCCCAGGACCCTGGGATCATGACCTGAGCTGAAGGCAGACGCTTAACGACTGAGCCACCCAGGCGCCCCTATTTTTTAAAATTAATTTACTTTTTCTTTTATTTTTTTAAAGTAAGCTCTAGGTCTGGGGTGCCTGGCTGGCTCAATGGGTAGAGACTGCGACTCTTTACCACAGGGATGTGAGTTTGAGCCCCACGTTGGGTGTAGCTATTACTTAAAAATAAAATCTTTTAAAAAAATAAAAGCTCTAGGCCCAACATGTGACTTGATCTTATTTTGGAACTACCTTTTGATTCCATCAACTGAAATATGCTGAAAAACAGTAAAGTCAGTATTAGCCTATGTATAACTCAAGACATAAGATAAACCTACAGCTGAGGGCCTCCTGGGTGGTTCAGTCAGTTAAGCGTCTGCCTTCAGCTCAGGTCATGATCTCAGAGTCTTGGGATAGAGCCCTATGTTGGGCTCCCTGCTCAGTAGGGAGTCTGCTTCTCCCTCTCCCTTGGCCCCTGCCCCCTGCTGGTGCACACACACTCTCGCTCTCTAATAAATAAATAATCTGGGACGCCTGGGTGGCTCAGTCGTTAAGCGTCTGCCTTCGGCTCAGGTCATGATCCAGGGTCCTGGGATCGAGCCTGGCATTGGGCTCCCTGCTCAGCAGGAAGCCTGCTTCTCCCTCTTTCCTTTGCCCCTCCCCTGCTTACGCGTACTCTCACGCTCTCTCTCTCTCACATAAATAAAATCTTTAGGGCACCTGGGTGGCTCAGTTGGTTGGGCGACTGCCTTCGGCTCAGGTCATGATCCTGGAGTCCCTGGATCGAGTCCCGCATCGGGCTCCCTGCTCGGCGGGGAGCCTGCTTCTCCCTCTGACCCTCCCCCCTCTCATGTGCTCTCTGTCTCTCATTCTCTCTGTCTCAAATAATAAATAAATAAAATCTTTAAAAAAAAAAAAATCTTTAAAAAAATAATCTAAAAGAAAAAAGAAACCTACAGCCAAAATTTTATATAACCTCAAATTCAAATAAATAATATTTCTATATTACTTTGTACTGCCATTACCCCTAAAACAAAGAATCAAGAGTTGCCTAAACTATTTTGCAACAGTGATAAAAAGGCTCTATAATGATAAATTATAAACCAGCAACTTGTGGAAATTTCTTATATAACAGCTTCTTGAACAAGCTGTGATGATGTTCAATGGCTTGTCTCTAATGAGATTTCAATAGACATAAACAAACAGAAAATCTCATGTTTCCAACAATCAAGGACAAACTAAAAATGCTGATAAGCTTTCCCATTAAGTATGAAAAGAGGGCAGACATATTCAAAGAAAGTTCTCTTCTAAGCAATTGTCCCTTTGGCAGCTTCTAGAGCTCTGCCAAGCTTGAGATCTTTTTTAAGATTTTATTTATTCATCAGAGACAGAGACAGAGAGGCAGTGGCAGAAGGAGAAGCAGGCTCCCCCACCTTGAAGCAGGAAGCCTGATGCGGGACTCAATCCCAGGACCCTGGGATCAGGACCTGAGCTGAAGGCAGATGCTTAACTGACTGAGCCACCCAGGCACCCCAAGCTTGAGATCTTTAATACTAAAATATCCCATAAACTTTTGGCAACATCAGGTACAATTGTTAATGATAAAATCAAGAAAAACTACATTGAAAAAAAATTTTTAACTACATCACTTCAAAATTGCATGAACTGCACACCACATGATTTGCCAAAATTATAAGACTTCCATTAGAGCAATCCCCTCTTTATAAAAGAGGAAAACCTCCACATTTGGATAAAGAACCTATCAAAGATTTGCAAGAAAATATCTTCAACATTTCCTGAAACTCCTCTTGAAATGGAGAAAGCAAAATCAAATGTCAAAAGTTAGTTTTATCTTGCTACTAGAGGAGTCTGTAACAGAAAGAAAAGATCCATGTCCAAAACCTGAAGGAGCTTAGAGAAAAAGGAAGAGCCATTTCCCTCTCCAGATCTTTTGTGCTTTATATCAACAGCTAACAGAATTCATCAAGTTCACAATACTACAAAAGTAAGGGCTATGAGAGCTGCAGTTTCACGGTAAGGGGGCTGCTGTGAAGGGAATTTAGTCATTCTGGACAAGAAAGGGAAAAAACCTGAAATTTTTAAATACAAAGAACACCACAAAGATTATTAATTTTTTCCCTGGATTCAACATCTTCCAGATCCCATAAATTAATGAAAATATTAAACAGCTAAAGGTTCAAAAATGAAAATGGTACAAAGTAAGTTCAACTGTTTCTTGCCTCAGTTAGTTAAATCTGAGCGAATAAAGGAGAAAAACAACCAAATGTGCCAAGATGGATAACCTGGAAGAAAAAAAATAAATAAAAACCTACCTTTTTTGTTGAAGGAGGTTTCACACACCAGCATCTCCCCTGGACCCCAGTCAAAACACATTTGCTTCTTTGAATTTACTCCTGGAATCAACTAGTTAAAAAAAAAATTTTTTAAAAAGGGCACAGACACTGTTATTTTTACTAAAGGTTTTGCTTTCAAATGATTTCCAAGTAGAACCCTAGAAATAAGTGGCCATGAAAGTTAAGTGCTAATCTATGTATACAGCTGAGTGTGGTTGAGGTCAGCCCAGTCTGTTAAACTCTGAATAAGCAAGCGAGCTTTCCTGGGCACCTCAACTCAACCTACCACTTTGCAAGTGTTGATAAAAAGAAGAGGTATCCATAATCAATTACTATATTGTAATTTAACGATCTATAGTTCAGAAAAAGGGAATTTTTAAAAAAAAGAAAAGAAAAGAAAAGAAATCAAACTGTCTGGGGTGCCTGGTTGGCTTAGTTGGTTAAGCGTCTGCCTTCAGCTCAGATTGTGATCCCGGGGTCCTGGAATCGAGTTCCACCGAATCGGTTCTCTCTCTCATGAATAAATAAATATATCTTTTAAAAAAATGGGGGCGCCTGGGTGGCTCAGTCGTTAAGCGTCTGCCTTCGGCTCAGGTCATGATCCCAGGGTCCTGGGATCGAGTCCCACATCGGGCTCCCTCCTCGGGGGGGAAGCCTGCTTCTCCCTCTCCCACTTCTGCTGCTTGTGTTCCCGCTCTCTCTATCTCTGTCTCTGTCAAATAAATAAATAAATAAAATCTTTAAAAAAAAAAAATTAAAAAATGAACTGTTGGGGCACTGGGTGGTTCAGTCGTTAAGTGTCTGCCTTCGGCTCAGGTCATGATCCCAGGGTCCTGGGATGGAGCCCCGCATCGGGCTCCCTGCTTGGTGGGAAGCCTGCTTCTCCCTCTCCCACTCCCCCTGCTTGTGTTTCCTCTCTCGCTGTGTCTCTCTGTCAAATAAATAAAATCTTTAAAAAAATAAATAAATAAAAATAAATAAATAAAAAATAAAATGAACTGTTACTTACTAAAAGGAGCCCTCCAATACCATGGCTTCTGTGCCATCTCTGATGAGGACTCTCAATTTTTCTCTCCAACTCAGATCAACCCCTTTGAGCCTCAGCCTTATATATCCAACTACCTAATCCACACCTTTATAGGTTACCTAACCTCTAGAGCTATATCCATAACATCAGAACCAAAAAAGGACTCTTGATGCTCATCTCCAAGTCTCATTCCATTCCCCCACTGGGATAAAGCCTTCCCCAACTGTTAGGAGTAATCTTTTGATTCTTCTCTTTCTCTTACCACCTTCGTCCAATCAGTAAATCCTGTTCTACTCTTTTTTTTTTTTTTTTTAAGATTTTATTTATTTATTTGACAGAGAGAGACACAGCGAGAGAGGGAACACAAGCAGGGGGAACGGGAGAGGGAGAAGCAGGCTCCCCGCCGAGCAGGGAGCCCGATGCGGGGCTCGATCCCAGGACCCCGGGATCTTGACCCGAGCCGAAGGGAGACGCTCAACGACTGAGCCACCCAGGCGCCCCAATCCTGTTCTACTCTTAAATAAGCCTGAATCCAACCACTTACATGTCTACCAGTCTAACCCAAGCCACCAACTCTCATATAACTGCAACAGCATTTCTCAGTGCCTGAAATGACTCTCCTACATGGTTATTACCTTGCCCTGTAAATAGATAAAAGCTCACAAGGGCAGGGGATCCTGGGATTCTCATTCACTGCCTAGAAGAGACCCTGGCACAAAGTTGGCACTCCATAAATATTTTTGGCAGAGAATAAATTTGGCCGGCAATAATCTGGTCTCAAGACAAGTGCAGTCAGTTCTTAGGAAGGGCTAATGCAGTCATTTAACTACTAAGCAATGTCTAGTAAGCCTTTTTCTGTACTGTGCTCTAGAAACACAACAATGTATAATACAGTTTCTGCCCTCCAAAAGCTAGCAGTCTACTGAGGAAGTCCAATAAAAAAAAGGCAGTAAGAAAAGTGGAGGGGAGCCTGGGTGGCTCAGTCATTGGGCGTCTGCCTTCGGCTCAGATCATGATCCCAGGGTCCTGGGAATGAGCCCCGCATTGGGCTCCCTGCTCGGTGGGAAGCCTGCTTCTCCCTCTCCCACTCCCCCTGCTTGTGTTCCTGCTCTCCTTATCTCTCTCTGTCAAATAAATAAAGAAAATCTTAAAAAAAAAAAAGTGGAGAAATGCTAAGACAGAGATAAACACAAAAGAGGATGTTTTAGCAGACTCTTAATGAATAGGCCACTCAAGGGGGAAGTGTTATACACAGTGGTACTGAAGCAAATGGGTATCCATAAGCAGAAAATAAACCTCACACCATAGACAATATAAAACTTACACACAAATGTAGAGAAAAATCTGTAAAATTTGAAAAGCATAGTAGAAAATGTTTTTGATCTTAATGTAAGCAAAGATAGGACACAAAAAGCACAAACTACAGAACAACTTATAAATTGGGACTTCATCAAAATTAAACTTTTGTTCTTCAAAAGATACTATTTTTTTTATTTTTTTTTTAAAGATTTTATGGCTCAATATCAAAGTAGTGACTCCCCAGGGTTGTGCAGGTTACTGGAAAGATGCCTCCATCGAAAGATTCTGACATAAATGGAGGAGGGAAAGGCAAGATGATGTGTAGTTTGAAAAAGTTCCACTGATTCTGATATTCTAATTATTCTTCTCACTGACACTGACACAGTCCTTGATACATAATATTTAAAGTAATTCATACAGGTCTTAAAAAATTAACACTCTACAGTAGTAAGTTTTATAGAGTAACAACCCACATTAACTGCTATTTACGATCTCATGTCTCATTTTGTCCAATTGGCTTTGAAATGACCCTCATCTTTAATCTCTGGTTTTGTCAAACACTACTTTTCCATCTGATGGATTTAGCTGAAAACTGCAGGCATCTCAACTTTCTCAAAAGCAATAAATATACGATCAGGCAACCTGCAGTTTAGTTTAGTGAAGCTTACAACTTACCAAGAGCTGGGAGGTGCAGAACAAGCCAATAATGGACAGAAATATTTGCCCTAGTCAGGGAGGTAAGGGAAAGCTTTCCTGAGAATGAGGGTGTGGTTCTTGCATTTGAAAAATGAGGAGATAAACCGGAGAGAAAAAGAGTGTTCCAGGTAGGAGGATCGGTAAGTATCTCGTATCTAAAAGCCACGAATCTCTTTACGAACATTATAGATCATTCACATTTGACACTCTCTTGAAAGTCCAGACAGAACTGAAAGCAAACAGAGCGATAAGAACAAGAAGTCTCCGAGAATACTTTTAGTAAATCTTGGGCCAGCACGGCACAAGAAGCAGAACCCAAGCTCATGGCGTTGCGATATGAAGCTTAGATCTGCGGAAGACAAAAGCTCCTTCGACCTCTGCTTGGTCGGAGCCCGCTCACTAGAGCACTAGTCCAACAGGAAAAGCGAGGGAAGTGGGATGGGAAAGTCGGGAAGACAAGAGAGGGTGAGGGATGGAGTAAGGAGTGAGGCCTCCGAGCCAGGCATTTCTGAATATACAAAAAAAAGAGTAGAAACCTAGCGACCACTACTGCGACCCAAACACGGGCACCTAGCTAATGGGACCTCCGAACCGTGGCAACTGAGCTGGGGAGGGAGCCAGGAGCCTCGCGGGAGGTAGACAAGCCTACAGTGACTAAGCAGACACAATCATCGGACCGCGAAGGCAAGACTGTTGCGGGTGCCCTTACAGTGACGGTCGGCTCGCCGTCGAGTTCCTCCATACCGCCTCGCCTCAGTCCCCTGGAACTTGCACGGGCGCCAATGCTCCGGGCTCGGGCCTCCCGCTCACAGCCGGCTGCCAGAGAAGACCCCCTTCGGAGCGCCTCCTGCACTGCCTGCAGGCCCAAACGCCCATCGCTACAGGGGCCTCAGCTCTCGGCCACGATCCTCCCTCTGCGACACTCTATACATGTCCCTCCCTCCTGGCCGGCGACAACACGACAGGGAAAACAGAGCCAGGGCAGCCCGTCCTCACAATAACCCTTCAAGCGGGTCAGGCGCCGCCGCGGACAGCTCCGCGCCGCCCAGGGAAAAGGCCCCCGGAGACGGCGGGAGTCGCGGCGGTGCGGTTGCGCGTGCGCGAG